AAACAAACGATTTCCAGATGGAGGTGAGTTGGCCATCAGTTTTAAATCACAACGATCGGGAAAAGTTATTGCAGCGGATCCTGTATTGATGGGAGCTTTGAATGAAGCAGCAGAAGATAGAATAGGTACCCAGGTTAAATGTTTCGAAGTACTCAGTAGCATCGGCTGTTTGGAAAAATTTCGAGGTTTTCTTGGAAGTGGGAAGTCGTTTATGTGGAACTAGGTTCCGTTGATTTTTAACAATTGTTGTATCCTCCTCCAAGCCTCTGATTTTTGAGAAATTCCAAGCGAATTGGGCGAAACCAAGTTTAAGCTACGCTCTGGGCTGTTCCTTTCTTTTATGAAAATGGCGAAAATCGCACTTTTTGAATATTTTCGAGTATGCCGGACAGGCTGAAAGGCATTGAATGGAAGGGTTCGCAAACATATGTTTGCTGAACGGGTAACAGATCATTGGAGGCAAGTAAGTTTGCTTTTGATTGGCGAACGCGATTTTTTTTTTTTTTAGAAATTGGCAACGGATTCATTTGTGAACTTCGCGAACATCGAAGAGAATACCCCGGCGTACCACCGCGAATATGACTTTTTCATTTCCAAATTTGCCTCAATGTGCCATGCCAATAGCAGCAGCCAGAATGCAAAGGATGTGCGATATGCTGGCTTGCGTGGTTTGCGAGGTCCGTTCTTGAATTTTTGTTCTGGTCCTGCATATGTCAAGCGTTTAGAGCCTGCAAAGTTAGGCTACCTTCCAGATCCCTGAAATAATATTTGACGAGGCCTGCAAGCAGTGAAGATGGTGATTCCCCTGAACTTCGTGTTGTGTGCGCCAAAAATCGTGCTTACAGGTGTTATGTGGAAATCGGCCACCGACCCGCTGCAGACAAGCATTTGGGAGAAGGAGCATATGGACAAAATTATTCCTTCTATTCTTTTCAATCTTCAAGACGATGAAGATTCGGGTAACTTTTAGTTATTCCTGCATTTTGTTAAGCAGTTCCCATGCTTTCCTGTAGTGCTAAACAGATAGATTAATATGTTGACGATAAAAGTTTTCGCATAGCTGTAGGAGCATCCCAGTAACATCACTAACGTGGGTTCCCCTCCCCGCTCCTCGCATCCGAATTTTCCGGACGGTTTTTATATTATAGCCAAAAATTACGGTGTTTTTCTACGAAAGATGTCTGAGACTGACGGTCCATCGCACGAGCTTCTTTTTCGGTACACGGATTGATATCAAATATCAAACAAATTATATTCGCTTCCTTGACAGTTTCAGTTCAGTATACAAAGACTTTTTTGAATACTATTGTTGTTAGGAGATGTGCGAGAG